CCCCCCCCCCCCCCCCCCCCCCACCCATTACAGGCATCCCCCCATTATAGACAATCCCCCATTACAGACATCCCCGATTACAGACCTCAGCAACCGGGCATAAAAAACTTCAACTTTATTTAACAATAAAAAGAGAGTTGAACAGTATGAAGAGTATGAGTTTGACTGTCATACAATATTTCAATGTTTTCATAAATATTGGAAAAAACTAATATAAATTTGTTAGAGTTCCTAATAATGTAACCACTGATTATTTTTTAAAATTAAAATGTGCACGTAAAAAATCAACAATAAAGAGTAATAATAGGTATTGATCTGTCATACCGATGGGATAATCGATGTAACAAACATGATCCCACCTTTGTATTAGTGTCAGAGGTATACAATATCACCATTTATGAATTAATTGAGATATATAATAGTGTGATGAGAGTAGCTTACAGATATAAACTGCATTATTCTAATAGTCATATTGATGAAATAATCGATGATAAAAAAAAGGTAATTTCAAATAAAATAAAAATAAAAAAAATTGGTTATTATTGAGTGCATAGCAACAATAATAAAAAAAAAAGATCGGGCGCGCGTAAACGAAAAAGAGAGTTTCAATTGTAAATGTAGAAATTAAATGATCAATTATTTTTCTTGTCAGCAACTATTTACAAAAACAAGCTATAGTCGGCAAGAAAGTTTTCAGTTTACAGGTGACGTATTAAGATAATACGATTGAAGGATATACGTGAGTTCCACACTTTAGCTCCAAAGGAGCTGCGCTAACAAGCTTTTTTTCAGCCTTGTTTTTGGTTATTTTCCAATATTTTCAGGTTAAGTATCGAGAATTTTGTGATATTCATAATTTTAAATGAGATCCAGTTTAAACTGCATCATGAGAGAAATTTTTCGCTGACGATATGGCATAAAATTTTAGAAATTGCCTGGAGTCGATACTGAAAAGTTGTCATAATTCTTACAATTAAGTATTGATATATTCCATTTCCGAAGCGCTTTAATTTAGCATAGAATTGGTTATGGATGCTGTTTAAAATCGGAGCATTACTCCCTTGGAAAAACATTTTTACACACCCTATACATTCTTGCAGTTCACAAGCTTGGTTCATAATGAAGCAATCATAAATCTAAACAGAACTGTTTGAGACAGATCAGCTTCTCTCAAAGAACTATGTGGACAGTTCTCAAGACCAGAACGGATTTGAAACTGTCGTAGGTCCCTTAATAGGTGGAAAATTATTTTTTAATTTGATAAGTAACAGCGATTGAATCTTATTAATAAAAGAATAATAGATGGATCGAGTATCATATTACTTATCATTAGTTCCACAGTATCAGATTCCGAAAATCATACGGTATTCTAAAAACAATGCTAATCGTACCCAGCAATTGTAGACCACTTAACTAGCAATGCAGTACTGCAGAATATACAGTCGGGCTAGGCACCCAGGCAAAGTAGTCCTACGCAGACTTGTATAGATCGATCAGTCAAAACTGGATTTGATGCATGTCTAAAACTGAGTTGCTCGTTGAAGTATGATTTAAATTGAATAGTTTCCATTTATTTTTGCCTTATTTATTATTAATAAAACTGTTGCTAGTGTATTACATTCGCAACTGAGTCAAACTACTTTATGAAGTAATGGTACAATTTTGTACTGTTGTTTGATACAAGTAACTCCCTCTCAATACTCTCGAAGACCACATATCGAAAGTGATATATGCTACTATCAGTTGATTTCAACATATAACTCCATGAAAATGAAATTTTTGACTTAAGCGTGAACGTGTGAATGAATGTGAGTAGAAGGAAAACACACTCGTACTCCGCGATGTACTCCGCGATCACACTTCACTTGTATCCCAAACTTTGGAATTTTTACATAAAAACACTTTGATCTAAGGTAGTACTTTGGAAAGGAGTTGTTGTCTGTTAATTCAGATCCTGTTATCAAAAACATGTGAGCTCAAATAAAATACCCAGATGTTCCTAATAGAATACAATTTTATCTAGACTAAAGCTTGTCTTTTTGGTGAACACATCTTTTTTTCACAATTGTGACTGGATTGCAGGCATTACACTTGCTTTTGCTATCATGACTTTACTTCGCGTAATGGCTGCAGAATTTATGTGTTTGAACGCTGGACGAGTACTTCACAATAGGTAAGAATTATCTTTTGTCAAGATCTTTTCTTCATTGTCGAATTATAAAACAGAATGTTACGACAAGTGCTTCGGTGTCCTATTCGCTATTTTGATACGACTCCAATTGGTAAGTAAATGAGAAACTTACAACAGGATATAGTCAACTTTTAAGGTTTCGCTACACTTAATAAATTACCAGCATTAACAGTTAAGATATTAAAAACAGCTCGAGTTTTACAGAAAATCAACTGATAATACATGTTCATTATCAAGTGAGTTAATAAAAAAAATAATAGCTTAAGATGGTTTTGATTACTAACTATAAAGTTAATGAGATAGTTGTGCTTTAGTAATTAAATCATTTGTGATATATTATTTGTCTGTATTTAATATGTTTATTATGCACAGGTCGAATTTTAAATCGGTTCTCCAGAGACATATCCATAATCGACGATTCTCTTCCTTTGACTCTATTTGATTTTCTTCAAGTAAGTTAAATAAGAATTTCACTAGTGTAGCCATCGAGTTTTTCTACAGACCTTCTTTCACATACTGGGTACCATGTTATTAGTTGGTTGGTTCAATCCATGGTCTTTTATACCTGCAGCAATAACTGTTTTAGCCATGTTGTTTGTGCGATCACGCTTAGCTTCGTGCTCGCGGGATTTAAAGCGCCTTGAGAGCGTTACTCGTACTCCTATATTATCTCATTTAGCATCTAGTATTCAAGGAGTGACCGTCATCCGATCACTGAATGAACAAAAAATGTGCTCGACTCAGTTTTTTTCGTATCTGAATTCCAACACATGCGTCAACTATTTGCTATTCACTGTGAATCGTTGGTCAGCCTTTCGATTTGATTGGATCACAGCATGCTTCATTGCCTTTGTGACATACCTCGCAGTAGTTATGCGATTCTTACAAAATCAACTTTCTCCTGTGGATATTGCTTTAACACTTGCATATAGTCTCAATTTAATGGGTCTTGTTCAATGGAGCCTCAGGTATTAAATATAAAAAAGAATTGAAGTAAAATTCCATCATTACTGAGTTTTTTAATAGATTATCTGTTGAAACCGAGAGTCTGATGACTGCTCCAGAACGGATTCTTGAATATCGTTCTCTTGATCAGGAACCACTTACTTCAATATCATCTCAGCATCCACTATCCTCAAACTGGCCAACGGCAGGCAACATTATCTTCGACAATGTCTCTATTTGTCATTCAGTTAATAATGAATCAAGACCCGCTCTACAGCACATCTCGTTCAGTATGAATTCCTGCGAAAAGATCGGCATCGTCGGTAGAACAGGTGCTGGAAAGAGTACATTAGTCCAGTCACTTTTACGCATGGTTCCTCTTACTGAAGGGCACATCATTATTGATGGCGTCGATATCAGCGCAGTACCCCTAGATTGTCTTCGACAAAGAATTTCAGTTATACCTCAAGATCCAGTACTTTTTACGGACACCATCAGAGCAAATCTTGATCCGTTTGACAGATATTCAGATGCTGAAATATGGCAGGCACTTGAAGAAGTAAGTCATATTGAGTTTTGCTATGCATATTACGTGAGTATTTACTGAATAAAAGGTGCAGTTGCGGAGATTTGCAACAGAACTCATACCAGACGGCTTACTCTCGATGGTTATGGAAGGTGGAGCTAATTTGAGTGTTGGAGAAAAACAACTTGTCTGTTTAGCACGAGCTATTCTTAAGAAGAGCCAAATATTGGTCATTGACGAAGCAACAGCCAATGTGGACAATGAGTCAGAAGAAATTTTCTTTAAAAATATACAATTCAATCATTTATCTTCTTTAGAACGGATAAATTGATACAATCTGTTATTCGCAACAAATTTAAAAACTGTACAATGTTGACCATAGCTCATCGCTTACTCACGGTGCTTGACAGCGATCGCATTCTGGTATTGACATCATTTTTTTGAATTTACATGCTTATTTATTTTCTATATCAAAGGTACTGAAGGACGGCAGGGTGCTGGAGTTTGATCGACCTCAGATACTTCTTGCTGATCCGAACTCCAATCTCACCTCACTAATGCAAGACATGGAGCGATCGGAGTTAAATTCCTCCGATGACCAAAACCCTTCTTAATTCCAGAAAAACGATTAAGAAATATCATTCTTGCGTGATTTTAGTTTTCAACACTGACAGTTCATTCTATATTAGTATTTCTAAACAGAATTTTGACTTTTTTCTTCTTTATTCTCTCAATGAAATAAAAATCAAGTCCTTCATCATTCTTCTCCGTATTTTTAATGTTTTTCTTCAATCGTTTAGTATCTAAATCTCTTATTATGATTTTAGTACGTTTTTGAGTCATTTTGTCTCAAACTTGAGTTTACATCTAGAATGATTTGTTTCAACTGAAATTTTTCAGGTTGATTGATGCTACTAAGATACATTATTTGTTAAAAGTTTTTATCCAATGCATCATGATAGATGAAGCTGCCAGTATATTTAGAGCACCTTTGTGTGCTCCACAAGAATTTCTACGAGTCCGTCATGAAACTTCCTACTGATCTCGAGTTGATTTGAAATTTAAAACCAACATCAATACCGGTTTTTTTATCCGAACAGAATTTTGAAATTCACTTCCATTCATTTTTATGAGCACCTTTAAAGGCATGACATTAAAATATGTATAGAATAGGTGACCTGACTATACTAGAACAGGAGACATATGTGAGTGTAGGGAGTGATTGTAGGTGTGGCAGTAGTTATGGGTGGGAGTTTGGGAAATGTTTTAAAATGTCCATGTGGTTATGGTGATGTGATTCAATTGAATACCTCATCCACACCTACATTAAAGATTGATTCACTGCATGTTTGCTAGAATTCTGTATCTCAGGAATGAAAATTTGGAAAAGCAAATCATTCTAAACATTTGTCAATATTTCGTAAGACCTATAGAATGAATAGAGTCTCGGTCAGATGTGGACCACAGTGAACAGCCAGGCGATAAAATCTATTTGTGAGATCTAAACTTAGCTCGCATCTAGTAGTATAGCTACTATGATCCTGAGTTTAACTTCATCTAGAGTTCTGATTGCAAGCAAGTAGCCGTCTTGCAGCTGCTACTACAAAGTAGATAAAATTGCTAAATAGCACTAATAGGGTGCTACACGTAAAGTTGCTGTTTCAAGTCGAAGATCTAATTGTATCTATTAGATATGATGCAGTTATTTAACGTTGTATGTTTACTATATACTACAAATCTTTCATACAGCCGGAGATTCCTGATCCGAAAGAATCAAAAATCTTCTCACAGTGTTCTAAAAACTAATGACCAGTGAATAATTTCATTCTTTCGTCACTTTTTGCTGGAGTTTTTATCTGAATTTGAATTGAATATCTGCTGGTACATGTTATCATCTATCTTGGATTGATACCAATTTAAATACTTATGGAGCGTGTCCTCTCATGTGCGAACATACAATGGAAATTTTAAAGTTTTGAAATTGAAATTAATTTCTTTTAATTGAAACTCTTTCAATCGAAAATAATCTTTAAGTCTCAACGTTTCGTTTTCTAAATTTTTAAAAAATTACTCAGATTAATTTAAAAAGAGTTTTTTTTTGATAATTAAATTGAAAATTTTAAACCTTTGTTTTTCAATTATCAAAAATTTATTGAGAAGAATTTTAATACAACTGCTATAGAGTTCGCTAAACTACTGCTATTTTTTTTTCTTGCTAATAAACTGCAATTTATAGAGTTCGCTAAATACAGGCTTTCAATATCTATATTTAATGCGCTGTTGCTATGAATGTCATAAGGTTTTTTTCTAATCTTCATAATATTATCTGCTTGTTATAATAACATGAAATCGAATATAGAATGAATACAAACTACTCGAGGTGCAAGAGCATTTATATACAAAAACCAAAAGTACAGAAAGCAATGCTCAAATAAAGACGGTTCAGAAATATGGGTTTGTTGTAACAAATCTTGTGGTATATCAACTGTTTTGCTTAATGGCATCATTAAACGATATCCACAAGAGCATCCACATGAGGAACTTCAACATTCATCCGAAGTGAGAAATCTATTACAAAATATATATACAGAAACAAAAAGGGATTTATTAACACCAGTAACTGAAATTTATCGACAAAACTTAGTACAATACGTATATTTTTATTCAAATATATTTCTAGTTCTCTTTGTTATTTACTGTTTTTTTTTTTAATATCAGAAAAGAAAAAAAGGATCAGCTGAAGATATACCAACTTTCAACTATATAAGATCAACGGCTTATCGACGTAGATCATCAGTTCTTCCACCAATTCCAAAAACATTAGAAGATATTGTAATACCTGACACTTTGAAATTTTTAGAAAATGGTGATCCGTTTTTAATATTTGACAATCCAGCACCAAATCATATTATTACTTTATGTTCTCCACAAGTATTGATTGAACTTAGTATGTATCTGCTACTATTACTACGATTTTTACCTTTTTTTTCGTCCTATTCTTATTATTTTCATATTTTACTTTATTGTTTTTAATCTTGTTTCTTTTTAAATTACAATTAACAATTCTGCAACTATTGAAAAAGAAGAAAAACGAATAACACTATATAATATATTGAAAGACAATTTAAAGATGTTAGCAGTTCAGAAGATGTAACTCTTTATTGTATTGTTATTCTTAATATGCTAAATTGACAACAATCAAATTCTTACAATTTGATGATGTCATTTGTACCAAAGACAACTTTCATAAAGAAATTATAAGATTTCTCTTAAATCACTGATTCTACTATTGTGGTTCAGCTATTTATTTCAGTAATTAAATTTTTTTCACTAAAACAAGATAGAGGAAGAAAACGGAAATGAAAGAGTTATAGTCGAAACAAAATACAATAGGTTTTTGTTTTTTGTTTCCCTACATGAGAAAAAAAAATAACTAAAAGAATTAATAATCATCTAAATCAATGCAATGTGTAAAGATTAAAGCATTTCCTATGCAAAGAAAAAAACCAAAAAAAACTTACTAATAAGACTAGAAATCTTTCAGGTTATATTATGCATTTTTTTTGAAACTTTTTATTCAATATATTGTGTTGAAATATATTTAATATTGAAAAGGTAAATGCTTCTATTGGCTTGCTGATGGAACTTTCCGAAGCGCACCACAAAAATTTGTTCAATCATATTCAATTCACGGTCGTACTGAATGGGGAATCCATCCATTTATTCATATCGCTATGTGTGGACGCAAACAAGAGCATTATGAATTGATTTTTCAAGGTTTATTTGATTATGCAAATAGAAATGATACTAAACTTCAACCTAGTAGTATAATGTTTGATTTCGAGCAAGCGGCATCCAATGGCTCCTTATCTACTTTGAAACATAGTTCAGTTCTTTATTGTCATTTTCATTATTGTCGATCGATTTGGCGTCAAGTTTAAAAACTAGGTTGAGACTTTTATTTCTTAAAACTTTATTCTCTCTCGATTTTTTTCTGATCTAGCTAAATTGGTTTTTATAAATGAGGTGTGCTAAAATATGGACGTAGTATACTAAAAACCCGGTCTTCATTTCCTTAACCTAGGAACAGCACAGAACCATAATAACTTTTTATAGATTTAGTTTCTATGGCATGACTATTGAATTTTTTATACTTACGACCCAGCTTATGGATCAATAAAATATTTTTATGTAGTATTAAAATGGGAATCTTTATAGTTCGATAGTCTAGACAGGATACCAGAATCTTGTCACACTTCTAGAATGAGAAAAGCGTAGGAGTATCTGTATAAATTTCGATTTGATATATTTCAATTTACTTTTATATGATCTATCATAAAAATACGAAATTGGTAATCAACACATATAGTTCTCACCCATGTTGAAGAATTGTAACTGAATGACAATAACATGGTTTCTTTTTAATAACTGAACTGACCTTTGGTATGAAGAACTGAATTGTAATAACATAAAAATGAACCTGCGAAAAATAATCTAAATATTTTACTGCTAATGCGCAAATTGATTCAATTAGGACCATATGATTGGGCACGTGACATCCATAATTTGACATACTGCCTTTTTAGGTTTTGCTTCATCATTTCAAGATAAAGATGCTAAAAGAGAATTAGCAAATTTATTTGGACTGCCATTAATACCTTTACAATATGTTTTTACTGTGTTTGAAAAAATTGCTTCACAATTACTTCTAAAGATAACAGATATTGAAACCTTGCTTCAATATTTTTCAAATACATATTTGTATGGAAGCAAATTTCCACCAACACGATGGAATCATTTTTCCTCCATTGGGTTTACACATAGAACAAATAATGCCCTTGAAGGTTACCATCGTTCAATAAATGCGTAAGTTTTACTGGGAGTTGTTGCATTAATTGAACTTATTTCCGTTTTTTTTTAAATTGATACTTTTACTATATGTATATTTCAAATTTTATTATTCACACTGAAATATTTTTCTCTAACAGACGAAATGCACCACATCCAAACATTTGGAAATATATCCTATTAAAAAGGGAGTTAGATGAACAAACGTTGATATCAGTATCTCAAGTAATAAAACAAAAACGTTCTACAAAGCACCAACGTAAACGTTATCGTGATCATGACAATCGTTTAATTGAAGCAAAAGAACTATTAATTAATAAACAAATCGATCTATTAGAGTATTAACGACGTATTCGATCTCTTACATATGGATACATAAAATATCATGAAGAAAATGACGACGATAGTGATGTTAACAATGACGTATAGAGAAAGTACTATTATATGAAACAGAATTTCTTTTCGTCGTTAAACATATATGTTTGCTAGTTATAAGAGACTCTTCTTTCAATATTACGTAGTAATATGAAAACAATAAAATTTTATCATAGTTATATAGATAGATAGGTAGCTAAATATAGTGAGAGCTGTTTTTCATAATCTTATTCATATTTCTATTTATGTTATACCTGTTTAATAATCTATTGATAAAGCTTATATATTTTTTAATTAAAGCACAACAATGTCCAATCAACCCTGACATTATATTTTTGTTTCGATTGCACTTACCTATTAAATTTTTATATTTTATTCATCAAATAGATAGATTTTAGTCTTTATCAATATCGATGTTATCTAAAGCTCTTAATATAAGAAGAAACTTGTTTAAGAAACAGTTCTGCTGTAAAAATCTATTTCTTGAAATGAAATGAAAACTTTTCGAATTGTAACAGAATCAAGATTTTTCAGGTTTTTAGTTTTCACACTTTCCAATATCATATATATCTTGATATGAAAATATTTAATTTGATTAAATATTGTTAATTTACTATTTAAATCGTAACAAAGTTATATGAATATCTATTTTTAAGAAAAAATATTTTCATAAACTAGACTAATATAGAAGTCAAAACTTCTAAATTTTGTCCAAACTATATCGAAAAGTGACATTCCCAGGTTTTCAAAACGTTCATTGATAATAAATGCAGAATCATCTTTGTATTTTAAAAGAAGATAACATGTTGATATAAGATTATATTCTCTGAAGGATATTTAGTTCCTTTGATCTGCTATTCTCGATTTTCTGACATATTCATCTTGTTAATTAAAAGAAAATTTTTTTCTCGAGACTGTTTGTATATAAACTATATAAAAGAAAATTTCTGGCCATGATCTTAATTAGAACGTAATCTCTCAGCATACGGATTCGAATAACTTCAATAAGGAATACAAACATGAATTTTTCATACTTTTCACTAAAAACTCCGTGTTTGAGTTCTTTCATTCATTAAAATGACATGGTTTAGATAACGGTAAATAAAAAACACTTGAATACTTATATGAAATACTATTTCACACATTTATAACACAATTTCAAGTCAACACTTCTGAAAGACGGAAATACAACTTTTTTTTTGAAAGAACTTAAGTTTTTGAAAAATTTCGTCTTTTCCCCATTGAAATGAGTTAAAAAAGAATAAAGATATTCACATAATCCGCTTTATCATTTCTTCGAGAAATGCTGATGAAAAAGTAAGAGATCCTTTCCCAGGGAAATATTTTATACGGCTAAATTACAAATAAAATTATGATTGACTGTGTGGATTTCCTTCGCGGTACGTTTCAATCTATAAACGCTAATCCATCCGTTCAAACTTATACGTCGTTTTCTGTACGTCCTAATCCATAGGTCCAAATCTATACGTTCTTATCTGTACATTCTAATCCATACGTCATTATTTGTACGTGTGGGTGTTGATGTGCGGGTGTTGCTGTAGGTGTGGCTGTGGCTGTGGGGTGTGGGTGTCGCTGTGGGGGAGGGTGTGTGTATTGTCTTCACACACCGTACACCCATACCCTCCTTTCCCTACCTTTCCTATCTTACATCTTCTCT